AACAACAACGAATCCACACATGGAGATGAACGCTACAGTGAAGAGCAAGAAAGCTGTGGCTGCTGGTATCCATACGGGGCTTGTTAAGATGATCAATGGCGTGAAAAGGATCAAAATCATGATGACTAGGCCTGCAAGAAGGAGGAGAGGAATGAGGCCTAGTATCTTAAAACGACAAAGGAAAAGCCATAAAGGGGTGATGATCAGGTTAAGGACAAGGTCTTGAACGTTTCCAAGAAATGATAGCGGAAGAGATATAACTGAAGTCAAGAGGCCAAGAAACAGGGTTGGGTTAAGGGGATTCAAGGAGTTTGTGATTGTAGTGAGTGGAGATAAGACATTAGAAGGATTGGATATGATCTTGGATGTATTGTCCAAGAGAGTGTCTGTGTCTGAGGAGATAATCTTGGATGTACTGTCTAAGACAGTGTTTGTGTCTGAGGAGATGATAGTGTTGAGTGTATCTGCGATGTTGGAAGTGTATGAGGATATGGTTTTAGAACTATCCAAGAGAGTGTCAGAGGAGAGGATATTAGAAGGATCATCTTGTAGAGAATTTGATGAGAGAATGTTACTAGTGTCTGATAAAATCGTGGATGCTGTCTCGGTTACTGGATTAGAGGAGATGGAGGACTGGATTGAAGAGGCGATATCTTTTGTGAGGTTCTTGATCATCTTCTATCTTCTTGAGGCACAACAATTATTGCGATGAATGATGAGAGAAGAAAGGGATAGTTAGATCGGGTTGAACTACAAGGAAACTCCGATAGTAGATGTTGGGGTATGCGGGAATGGAGGGCTTATTATATTATATATATTTTGAAGTGGGAACGGAGGTTCTTGATCATCTTCTGGCGGTACAATTATTGATGAATCATGAGAAAAGAACGGTGTAATATTGGTTGTATGTATATGGTAGTATATGGATTCGATCTTCACCACCTCATTTTTTTTAGGAATTTTTTATTATGAGTTGGTTAAACTTGATGCACCATTCACTCTGTAAGCTCAACGAGTTCTTGTAAATGTATGACACAAGAAAAAACCAAAGGTATTAATTTATTTAATTTAAATTATTTTATATCTTATAATATTATAATTGAATGTAGAAAATAATCGGACTTTTTTGTTGTAAGAGGAGGCAACATCGCAATATATTAATTTGTTGATATGATTATATTAAATTGTTTACGCAGAATTTGTAATCTTTTGTTTTTTTGGTTATGCAGAATTTTATACTATTTTAGTTTATTGGTTAAACAGATTTTTTGAATAATTTTGGTTTGTATTAAACTGTTTGGATATATATTGAATGACTTAAATATTTTTATAGTGAATATAAATAAGTTATTTACATTCGCTCCCAAAATGACATCGTTGTCATTTTGGGTTGAAAAATTAAAAAATTATAATGAAAAAGACTATTATATCCCTGAAAAAAATTATAATTACAAAAATACCTTAATTTCCGGTTCAAAACGACGTCGTTTTAGACTCATTGTAGATAAGTTATCTACATTGACCGTAGAAAAAATGAACTCATATTGAATTTATGAATCTTTATGAAATTATTAGTGATGCTGATTATATATTACGTTTAGATAAATTTTTATTGTCTTTTTTTTTTAACAGGCTATGTCAGGTTTTTATTTTTTGTAAATAAGTCATGTCATATGCCGATAATTATACTTACTTATAACAAGTTACAGGTTATGACAGTATGACATATTTAAACACAAACTTAACCTTTCAAGATCAAAGCCCGATTCGACCCCTTAACACCCGTAGATAGTAGGGGTGTTCATCAACCGATTCAAACCGCGGTAACCGAATCGAAAAACTGATAACCGAATAAATCAAAAATCAAAAAATCAAAAACAGAAAAAAAAATTGCAAATTTTAATTAGATTGGATCGGTTTTCTGATGGGTTGATAAAAATTGATGCAATCAAAACCGATCCAATATATTAATTCTCCTATATCTACTTGGGTATTCTCTAGGGGTGTAAATGGGCTGGGGTGGACTGGGCTTTGGCTTAAATAGGTCAGGTCTATGTAAAAAGTATTGGGTATGGCCTGGCCTATTAGCCTGTGTAGGCCCTAAATTACAAGTCTGGCTTGACCTATATTTAAAAAATAAAAGCCTTGGCTTAGGCCTGTTAACCTGTTTAAACCTATTAAACATTTAACAATTAAAAGAATAACTAAAATATTGTTATTTTATTATTCAAAATTATTAAAATAATAATTTTATTTAGTATAATTTAAATAAATAATATGATATAAGCCGACCTGTAGGCTTATAGGCTAGACATGTACAAAAAAACCTATGACCTACTTTCTAAATAGGTATTTTTAAAAGCCTAGGCCTATTCTATTTTACTATTTATAATAGCAAGCCTGGCCTAATATAGGCTAGGCCGTAGGCCCCTGTAGGCCGACCTAACCTATTTACACCCCTAGTCTTCTTCAATTATAGTCCAAAAAATTCTAAACCCAAGACCCATTAATACATAAACTAAACCGAAGAAAAAACTTAGCCACATCCTATCAGCAAAATTTCATCTGTGTAGAGTTTCATATCTCATTGCAAAAAAAAAAAACTATATTATCGTTTATAGATGCTTCTATATTTCAAAAAAAGAAAAACTTTACAAAACTAATATATACAGAAGATATGTTATTTACACAATAATCATGAAATAAATTTTAGACTTTTCCAAAAATTGAAAACTGATCCAATCCAAACCGAAAAAAATTGGATTGGATCGGATAGGATATGAAAAAAAATCCAAACCGAATGAATGATTACATGATCAAACCGAAGAGATTGGATAAGATGATTTTTGCTTCCAAAACTGATCCAATCTAAACCGCGAACACCCATAAGAGTGATAATATACTAAGATAGTATTTTTAGAAAACGAGGAAAAAATTAATTAAAAAATAACAATCGGCAAACAAAAATGATAAAAATAAAATTTCCTGATGTTAATTGTTGTCTTTTTGGTTCATTGCACATGAACATCAACATCGCGGCTCTTTAATTTTTTTTCCAAATTTAAGAAATTGTACTTATTAGACACTCGTCAGTTTTGAAGTATTCAACGTCAATATACAGAAGAATATTAGAAAAATTATTATTTTTACTAAAAGATATGTTTCCGTTTAATGAATATTTAGGTTCGTACCTTTTTTTGTGTGGAAATTGATAGTATCACTTCTTCCACCTAACAGTCTAACACAACCTTTTAAGGATATTTTAGTAAATAAAAAAATTTTATATTACACTCGCGAAACACATGGGGCAGTGGTGGAACCATAGATGTCGATTAGATGCTATTTCTCCAAATTTCCAACATTTGGAAGCATAGCAATTAATAATGAACTTAATTTTGAAATTTGATTGATTTGATGTTTATTGGTGGAGAGGTTGACAAGGTATTCTTGTAATTGGGCAATAGGTGAAACTTTCTCTTATTAGTATTTGGTTATATGGGCTGGCCCAACATATACAGTATCCCCTCCAAACTGAACTGTAATTCCCATGAAGCAATTGGCCCAGTGGTTCTTACCATAAAAAGCCACAATTGGGCCTGAATAACAGACCCATTTGAGAAACAGGACATAACAAGTGAAAATTAGTCCAACAAGATATGTACCCACAAATTGGGCTTTTTTACCCTTATAACCCTTTATTATTAATTAATTACCGATTTGACCTTGATTATAAACTATTTCAAAAATTTAACCCCCTCAAAAAACATAACACCAATCTGCCCCTGTTTGACCGTTGACCACCAAGCCTACCCGGGTACACCCCTCTGTACCCGGGTATTTTTTGAAAATTTTTGTCTACCCGGGTAGGGAGGCGTGTACCCGGGTATTGTTCTTCGCACCTGAGAAATTGCTTGAATTATTTACCCGGGTAGAGAGGGGTGTACCCGGGTAAATCTTCAACCACCCGGTATGATTACTCTTTGGATCTCCCATGCACTCTTCTTCTCCAAGCTTTGAATATAGAGGCACCGACTATCACGTGCTCTGCCTCTGCAACATTTTTGGGTCTGTAAAGCACACAAATATTTTTCAATGATTATTTCAGAAAGAGAATTCTCAGTTAACAGTATAAATCCACAACCACAAACCTTGTCCCATGCATGTCTTCCCTGAACGTGATAATTCGTCATTTACCAGTAAAATGAAAAGCTGCATGCTCACACTAAATTTCTGTACCATGAACCCTGTCTTTATTTTCTTTCCGTCTCACTCTCCCCAATAGACCCGGTACCACATTTATATATAGGAGCGCGATTTTGACGTACATAAAAGTAGACCCCATCATAATCGATACGAACAGGGACCGCTTTGATGAGCAGTAAAGTGTTGATGTATGGAAATTCCAAATCCATTCTCAAAGCTAAAAGCTCTTCAAATTGGTTAGGCATGCTTAACTTGATAATACTGATCTATCTCATTAGCTGTAAAAAAGAGAGAGAAAATACCAAATGGGTGGTCGAAGATTTACCCGGGTACACCCCTCTCTACCCGGGTAAATAATTCAAGCAATTTTTCAGGTACGAAGAACAATACCCGGGTACACGCCTCCCTACCCGGGTAGACAAAAATTTTCAAAAAATACCCGGGTACAGAGGGGTGTACCCGGGTAGGCTTGGTGGTCAACGGTCAAACAGGGGCAGATTGGTGTTATGTTTTCTGAGGGGATTAAATTTTTGAAATAGTTTATAATCAAGGTCAAATCGGTAATTAATTAATAATAAAGGGTTATAAGGATCAAAAAGCCCACAAATTGCTTTACATTTTCATTCATGATTTAACAATCGATTGTGGCCAAATACATTTACTCATTTAGCTTGGCACTTTCACAATCTCCTCTCTTTGTAAATTCAGGAAAGAAATACAATATACCTTGCCCCTTGCAGCCTAAAACAAATAATAAATAACATCTTTCGTGTGTTTAACATGGCAAACTTGATATTCTATACAAATTTCTGTAACGTTGAAATAAAAGATTTTTGATTTTCCATTTTCAACATATAGAGTACAAACTCATTCCATATGTCAATAGGGCCTGGCAAACACCAATGAACACAATCATTATGTGTCACATTTTGGTTCTTTGAATGTCCCCATACATATTTATTGGGATGTCCATCAGGCCTCCGCAGCATAATCTCAGTTGTATTTAGCATTAAAAACTTCAAACCTCTCTTCCTTGCATCCTTTTGTGCTGCTTTAAACTCCTCCACTTGACTCATATATGTCTCAAGAATATACCCTTCAAACTTTATTTCTTCCTTAGTGTAAGGCTTTATCCTTTCACAACTCCCTCCTTTGTTCCATTCAGCATTCTCAAAGTGAGCTGGAGAGAATGTTCTAAAAAATGTCACCCCCTTATACCCTTTGAGATTAAGAATAGTTCTAAATGCTGTTCGGAATGCCTTCCTATATCCATAATAGTGAGTAACATCTGTAATGTTGTTCTGTCCACACTTGTGGCATCCAACAATTTGGCCATTTTCATATAACACTAGTGGCCGAAAGAACCACTGGCCAGCTGAGATAATGACAAAGTCAAAATTTTCAATCTCATTAACCCATGCTTCATCTGCCTTATCTAGATACAGGTTCATGAGGCTGTTGTTAGAATGACCATTGAGGTCAGCATCTCTGGCTCTCACCAAATATGGGGACCAGAGTGTTGCCAAGGTGAAATTGTAATCACCATAGAACCAGCGTCTGAAATATATGGCATCTGTTACATATCTCTCAGAAATATCCTCAGGTTGAGCCACCTAATTAAAAGAGTAAATCAAGTTAGCATTTTTGAAAATTATGACTAATTTTTTTTTTTTTATCTTTATCTGAAAAGTTTTGTAACATAAGCATGCAACTCATTAACAAAATATTATAACATAATGCGTCAAAGAGTTAAAGTAAGATAATTGAGAAGCTTGATTGGTATATAATGGAGGGATAGAAAGTTGATAGAAATTAATTTTACCTTTAAAAACCAAAAGTAAAATATAATAATAAAGTGTGGTTGATTGATTACTTACGTGATTTAGGAGACACAACAATGAATTCATCTGGTTTTTTCCCACTGAGTCTCCAAGAAATGCCATTGACTTTCCTTTGACAAGCTTTAAGAACTGAGTTGCATCAAAGAGTGGAAGCTCACATTCATAAGGTTTCCACCTCCATTTGAGGAACTCTCTGTCAGGTCTTCCAAACTTCATGCAGTTTTGTTGGTCTATTATCAAATGGCAAGTCTCATTATTGTAATAAGGTCCTTTACTATAAGGAACCCATTCTCCGGAGAAGATGTTGCATCGTTTTATTTCAGTGCTGTTCATATTCAAACTGCTAGCATATATCTTAGAAGATGATTGATGAGAGTAAGAGTATTTAATAAGAGAAAATGGGAACATGATGAGAAGCACAGCAAATGGAAGAAGGATAACATTCTTGATAGTGTTTCCTGACGTGTACTTCCCATTGGGAAGTTGTAAGGACTGAAATCTCATGCCTGAGCTGAAGTCAGTATCAAAAGGTTTGCTAACAGTTTATATACCTACACTGTTCTTTGATGTGTGGTTAGGATAAAGCTCTCAATTTTAAGTCAGTGAATAAACTCTGTGATGGCTTGGCATATTAGGCAAGTGGTTATCATGATTTTATAATATGTCTGAGTTCTTGGCAATTATTTGAAGTGTTCTCCCTCTTGAAAGCACCACAATTCAATTTCAACAGTTTTTGTTTTTTTATGATACATGTGAAGCCCTTGTCAAATATTAATTTTTCAGCTTAAGAGTTTAATTTATATGGTACCATATTTATTTTATTTGGAAACTATTTATGTTGGAATATAATTTTATCGGGACTTTTGCCTCAGCTTTAACATACCCTTTCCCTCTCCACATTCTGTCCTAACACATCTTCATGAGTTATGACAAAAGCAAACTAAGTTTTTTAATCATTTTATGTAGTTATATTGAAAATCTTCAAACCAGGGGGGAAGAGGCTGCTGCATCAATTTGTGATTGAAAATGAAAATCGGAAATTATTGTATGCGTTCTTGATATCAAAATAAGGAGGAATCATAGAGTAATATTAGTAACACTAAAAAGGGGTATGAGATAATCCCTAAGGGTAGCTCAGCTAGCAACTGAGCTTCCAAGAGTTTGTTTGGGTCAGAGGTTCACATCTTGATTCATGCCAATTTTTTAAAAAAATTTGGGCTACGAGGAATCTTCCTTTTCCTAGCGAAGCTCAAAGAGTGCTTCTGATACATTCTTGGACGTTGTACTATTTATGAAATAAGCAAGGCTCCATTCACCAAGTATTGTGTAAGAATGAGAGAAGATTCAAATATAATGAATAACTTCCCGGGAAATAGAAGTATAATGTTGTAGGAAAATGTTTAGGTAATGTTATAGAGATAGAGATGGTGGGACCCACACTTGTTTATTTTTTTGGTTTTTGAAAACAAGGGTGGGTCCCACCATCTCTATCTCTATAACATTACCTAAATATTTTCCTACAACATTATACTTCTTTTTCCTTCCCATATGATATGGTTATTAACAAAAAATTTTAGAAAGAGAATCAGAGTAAAAGTTAAGAAGAGAGTGGTAGGCAAGTGGCCACGGGAATAATCTCCAAATCAAGCCAAAATCCAAAAGGCCAACAGGGCATCGTGTCTCATATTGATTGCATAAAAGCAGAACAAATTTTTGAATATGTTTATATTTGTTCCACCAAAATATCCAAAACGCCAACAAATCATTTATGAAGAAATTTTATTTATTTTTATTCCATCAAAACATCCACGGGAACACAGTGTATGGACTAACGTGAATCCTAGTGGGGTCCTCAAAGGGTTCGATGACATAAAAAACATGACAAGGGAGAAGCTTGAATTTTAGCCACCATTCGCCAATATTTCTTTTGGTTGCATGAACCACCAATAATTGACACTATTAATAATAATCAGTGATGATCATAATTAGTCCTGTATTTTCAATCATTAGGCTCTTGAGCACTGTTGACTCAGTTTATACTGATCATTTATCATGAAATTGTTGTGGTTTGGCGATTGAGTCTCAAAAAAACTCCTGATAACTCTCCTTGGCTTTGTTTGGCAGTGAAATCATTGAAGATATATGGTCTGTCTAATTGTGTTATGATTTTTTTTTTTGTTAAATTGTTTTGTAGAATAGTTTTGAAATTTTTTTTGTATTTTTTTGTTTTGAAAGTTAAAAGTCAAAACACAACAAAAACAACTCATGTTCTCTAAATTTGATTCTAAAAATAAAAATAAAAACAATTACGATTTTTAAATTCTTTTTTTTTTTTTTACAAAACGGGCCTTACTAAATGAGTTTTTTTATTTATTTATTTTTTCTGAAACCCAAAAACTATTTTTAGAAATAGTATTCAACCAGTGCAATAATTTTCCAATTTTCATATCTCACGTTATTTTATGTTGCTTTAACACCTTGTCCTTCTCTGGTTCATTCTCATAACATGGCAGCATAGTTCAGTCTTTTATATCCCAAATGTTGCTAAAAGTTTTTCTGAATGCTTTCAAGGAACATGTATCAATGTATGTGCTGCGAAACCCTTGATAAAAATAGTTTGAAGTACCAATTTATATTACATTTTGAAACCAGTATTCATTGCTATCAACAATGAACTAAAGTTTTTTTCCCTGATCGTATGTTGAACCAGGTGTTAAGCATTAATTATATAATGTGTTTAGAATCAAAAATATGCTAAATAATGTTTAATACTGTCAAAGACAGCAAATATTATTAGATGCAAAAGATTTTTCTAGTTTTCGTCTTGGGTAAGATATTGACTTAAAAATGTACCGATTTCAAGTTAAATTATATCAGAGCATTGATGGATTAAGGAAGCCGAAAGAAATCAAGACTTAAGTAAAGCGGAAGCCAAATGAGTGATTTTACGTTGCATCTCGCTGAGTTTCTCGCACAACGAGTTATTCAACGAAAAGACATAAAAACAGCCAATCTTACAAGCTTACTCGCTAGTTTTCTCGATGCAGCGAGCAAACTAGCAAACATTTCAATTTATCTCGCTAGTTTACTCGATGCAGCGAGCAAACCCGGGAGCATGTCAATTTATCTCGCTAAAATGCTCAATGCAACAAGCATATAAGCAAGAAGTCACCTATTTTCAGTATTCAGCTCGCTTTAGCGAGCAACTTGTAAAGAAAAGCCCATGGATCTTTTTGTAAAAATACAATGAATGAGGGCAAGGGTATTGAGTTCTTTGAGGAGGAAGAGAAGGGACGATCAAAACTTTATCGTGGAGATCGACGAATGAGTTCTTTCTATGTTTTTCATCTTCTGTAAAAAGACTTTCCTGACTATGTCAAGCAAGGTTTTCTTGTTGTTAGGGTTAGATGGAACCAATGGACTTTTGATTGTTATGTTATGCAATTATTCTGTATTTCATTCTTAATTCTTTTGTGAACTGATCATTCATAGAAGGTTACTTAAGTTATGCATGACAATAGAGATGTTGATGTATGATTCTGATATGAATAATTGCTAGGTTTTGTTTGATCTAGGGATAGACTAATGAAACCTATAACCTTTTTATTCATCATTCTTAATGCTTGCCCTAGGCAGGATCAAGATCACTAAGGCTTTGTTTGGGAGTTACCGTTTGGAGGGGAAGGGAAGGAAGGGTAAGGTTTTCTCATGCCTTCCGATTGTTTGTTATTTTAAAAAAATAGGGGAAGGGAAATGAGAATTTTTGTAAAATTTTTCAAAACCCTTCTCACCCTTAAAATTAAAGTTCCTCCAATTTGGAGGATTTGAAGGGGGGGGGGGGGGGGAATATTAAAATTTACTCATCTACCCTTAGCATTAAAATGTAAAAACTACATAAGTGTGAATCATTTTTTCAATGTGACACTACTAGAAAAGTTCCAAATACCGATATAATTCAATGATGGAAAATATTTAGTCAAAAATAGTAATGTAAAAACTACATAAGTGTGAATCATTTTTTCAATGTGACACTACTAGAAAAGTTTCAAATACCGATATAATTTAATGATGGAAAATATTTAGTCAAAAATAGTAACAAAATTTTTGACGCAATTATATTCCACCGAAAATAGAGAAGAAAAAATATTTCTATTGAAACTAAAGACTGTACAAGATTTGGTTATAATCACTGACAAAAATTTTCGACGAACAAAATTTTGACAAAATTCTTGACGGAATCAGAATTTCGTAAAAAATTTCGTTGAAATTTTCAACGGAAAATCTTTTTGTCAATTTTTTTTATGAAAAATGTTTTCATTGAAATTTTCAACTAAAAATATTTCTGTCGAAATTTTTGACCGAATATTTTATTAAAATTTTTGACAAAATTCTGGACAGAATCAAAATGAATTCGAAAGTTTTGACCAAAATATTTTCATCAAAAATTTCAATGAAATATAGTTTTGCTCAAAAACTTTAACAAAAATGATTTCTTAAATATTTTTTGTTGAAAGTTTTCGACAAAAAATAGTATTTTTGAAGGAATTTTGTTTATTTTAAAATTTCCAACGAAATATTTTTTATCAAAAATTTCAAAAAAATACATGTCATCAATCCGCGTGAGAATTTTTCATTGGAATTTGTTTTGCATCAAAAAATTTTACGGAATTTTTTTTTCTTTCAAAATTTTCCGTTGCAAGTTTTTTTATGTTGAAAATTCTGATGCAAACTTATTTCGATCAAATATTTTGACAGATAAAAAATTTCATCGCCTTTCACAAAGTGTATTTCGACGGAAAAAATTGGTCCAAAAAGTATTTTTCGATGAAATTTTTGTCATTTGCAATGAAAAATTCTGTCAAAAATATAATTTTTTTTTTTATTTTTTTTTTATAACAAAATATAATTTATTTTAGTAGTGTGAAAAGTACATAAATAATTTGTTTTAGAAACTTTAAATTTTATTTTATTTTATTTTATTTTATTTGTAAAGTAAAATATTTCATTAAACCTCATTTTTCTTCATTACAATATTTTTAACTTCTAAACAAAGGAAAAAAATATCCTTCATTTCCCTTCCTTTCCTTCGCCTCCCTCTCCCTTGAATCTCCTTCCTTCTCTTCCCATCCAAACTCCCAAACAAAGCCTGAGGGATTAGGATTCTTAATAAGTTAAAGAATTGAAATACCAAGGGATTGAGTGTTAATTAATCTGTGATGAATTGCCAATAACATGAGTTTGAATATTGATTGAAGGAAATGGTAGATTCATTAGGAAGAAATTGGAGAAATCGACACTCTAATTACTCTTTTGCATTATTAGTTTCAATCTGTTCTTTATCCTGAGTTCTTGACTTTGTTCTTGTTAGTTAGTTGTTAGTTATAGTTTGCATTTTTTATATTCGAATTATATTCTCAAAAATCCTTGCGGTCGATCCAACTTTGATCATATGGTGAAATTAGTGCTTGATAGATTAATTCTCATGAGAACAATACTCTACTCAC